AAACCCATTTTTTTTTTTTTTTGGTTTTGCATTTGAATATTGTACTGGCTTATAACAAAAGTTACCTATGCAGGTCCACGTCATCGTATAGACCCTAATAAAACGGCTACATTCGGTATTTTTAAGATTTTAACAGAATCTTTAACGGGCTTTATTTTTTGAAAATTGTCGAATCATGCCAAATAGTGGAGGGTATTCAAATGGTGGAGGGTATTCATCTTTTTATTTGTTTAAATTTATTATTTGTTTATTTATTTATAATTTTTTTATTTATTTTTTAGATTTATTTATTTACTTATTTTTTTTTATTTATTTTATTCATTTATTTTATTTTCTTTACTTTATTTATTTATTTCTTTTATTTTTTATTTATTTATTTTATTATTATTATTATTATTATTATAATTTTTTTTTTTTTTTTGAAACTGATATGTCGGATATTATTATTAATTTTTTTTTTGTTCAAAATTTAATCTCATTTAATATAAAAATAAAATTTTATGGATTGAAGAGAAGAAAATATATAAAGAGATCTCCAAAAACCTGAAGAAATTTTATAATATGTACCAAAATGTTCTTAGATTTGTTAGTTTGGGTCGAAATCCTGAAAAGATTTTGCTTTAGGGATACTGGAACACTTTTTGGCTGTTTCGGGAAGGCAGATGAAGTCTTTCTTAAAATCTTGTTAAATTCTCCACCTTCTCTTTATTTAGAAATTCAAAGATCTATACAAAAAATCATAGTTTGAACTTTGGGAAGCATCTCGAAAAATTTTATTTATCTATTTATTTTTTATTATTTTTTGAAAATCCTCAGCCAGGGGTTCCACTGTATTTTAATTTTGTTCCTTCCATAATTTCATACACATACACTGGTGGCTTAAATCGCAAAGACAATAAATGTTCTGTAACTTTTACAAAAATAAACAAATCGTAATTATTTTTCCAGTTTTAAATGAGGGGTTTAATTCAATTTTAAGAAACTAAAAATAAAAATACAAAAATAATTTTGAACGAAAAATAATATGTGGAAAACTAAAATGATCCAATTTTTGCTTGGTCAAAACTAAAGCAACTTTTGATTTTTTATTTTAAAATAATTAAATTTTGGCTAGTAGTCGATAGCATAACCATTATTTTTGATTCTATAACACGCTCAATTTGATCCTTGGGTGTGCTTTCCCAGGCACCCCGAATTCTTTAGAAAATGTTGTGCTTATTTATTTCCGAATCTCTCTTGATCTTCCTATCTACGATACTCCAAAGGTTTTCTAAGGAGTTTAGGTCAGGTGATTGTGCCAGCCATAACAAAACATGAATTTTTGATTACCGCAACCAATATTTGACAAGTTTTGATACAAGTTTGGGATCATTGTCATGCTGAAACACCCAAATCAGCCGAATATTTTACTCAGCGTAAGGGAACAACGTGATATCCAATACATCTATGTAAACAAACCGATCCACAACTTCATTTATTTTATGCATAGGCCCAAGTCCATAGAAAGAAAAATAGCGCCACGCCATTTTTGACCCTCCCTCATGCTTCACTGTACCTTTGCAACACTGCGGCTTGAGTCCTTCATTTTTTGGCCTTCTCACCGTAAAATTTTTCACGTCTGAGCCTTTAATATTAAACGTAGACTCATCCCAGATATAATGTTTTTTCCATTGAGCTTGATTCCACTTAATATTATCGTTTCCGAAAGCCTTTTTGATTTTTTCAGATATAAATGGTTTTTTGATGTCTTACGAGTCTTACAATTTGTGGATCAGTACGGGGTGAAGTTTTTCACGGCCTTCATCCGTTATAGACTGTTACTACTGATCCAGTTTCAAAAAACCGACTTAGTATACAGAAATTATGAAATCACATAAATATTTATGAAATATTTCTCGGAAATCATTTTCTGTGATATGTTGTTTTGATAGTCACTGATAATTTGCTGTTTTATTCAGGTACTGTATTTGCTTCTAGCCATTTTTAAATTTTTTTTGGGCAGTACTTAAAAAACGGCAGTACTTAAAAAAGAAAAACACATACTGTTGTAAAAAACTTCTCAAAAAGGATTTATGACAAGCGAAATTGTCGAAGGAAGCAAAAAGCGATAAATATCACAGTAAAAACAACTGAAATTGCAGCGGTTATATGAATATACAACAGAGTTGCTTTTGTTTTGTCCAAGCCAAAATCGGGTTAATTGACTTTACCAAACATTATTTTTTATATAAAAATGAATTCTGGTTTTATGTTTTAGGTTTTTAAAAAGTGAATGAAGTACCTAATTTAAAACAAGAAAAACTTTCTCATTTCCTTAATTTTTGAAAAAGTTACAGGGCATTCATTCTCCTAGTAATTTCAGTTGCTTTAGTTTTGGCCACCAGTGTACATACGTGTAAATATTATCAATATTACAAAAATATGTTACCCTTAATAAAACCAAAAAAAAAGACCAACACTTACAACTCAATATTACAGGACTAAAATTAAATGCAAAAACAACAACAGTGCCAGCATTTTAAGTGTACAACACAAAATTACATGGATTTATGCTGTCGCTGTTGCCGTTGATGACGATGATGAATATGCGAGCGCTCTCTTGTAAGTGATAATAATTTTGTTTTGTTGTCCATCTATTTTTCATGTTTTTGCTGCTGTTGTTGTTGCTGTTATTATGCTACAGGTGGGCTGTTTTCTTTTGTTTTTTTTTTTATTTGAGTGTACTTCTTGGCAATGCCGGTGGTTATAAAATTGCCTTGAAGTATAAAATAGCAAGATGTTTAGTCTACATTTTTTGGTTTATTGTTCTAGCCGGTATTGATGGCCAAAAAAAAAATTGTTTATTTGCTGATGAAAAATTTGAATTGAACAATGATGAGAGCAAATCGCAAAACATGATGTGCGTTTAGATGGATTTTTTTGCATTCCCATACTTTCTGGCATCAATAGAATGGAAGAGAGATGTTTTCAAATCCAACAAAAAAAAAAGATTTTCAAAATTTTTATTTTTTGTTAGCATATGGATTTTGTAGAATATATCAGAAACGAAAGCAAATTATAGAAATTTTATTGAAAATATAGCAAAACCAAGCGAAAACCATTTTTTTTTTTTTGAAAAATTGAATTTCATAGAATTTTTAAAATCAAAATAGACGCTGAAAACTAGAAATGTTTCGAAAAGTAAAGAAGCGACTTGATCGAAACCCGCGTCGCTGTGGCCGAAAAATGGCTTGTGAGCTGAACATATGGCAATATTCCATACGGCAAATATTGAAAAAAGAGCTCAGGGTAAGGCCATTGAAATTCCAAAAAATTCAAGAACTTGCACCGCAACAGAAAGAAAATAGACTCAACAGAGCTAAAAAGTTTTTTTCGCTTGGCCAAAATTGCTAAACTGCCGAATTTGGTTTTCTCCGATGAGAAAACATTCGTTGTCCAGCAGTTTGTAAACAAACAAAATGATCGTGTTTACTTGCCAAAGAGGTCAGCCTAAAATTTACACCTTCGGTTGGGCACCAGAACTCAAGCGCCGGCCATGGTGACGGTGTGGGCCGCCATATCGCTAAAATATTCCAGAGGGTGAATTAATGCCTTGGGCACCCAAACATTTTGGCCGCAAACCTTGGATATTCCAACAGGGCTCAGCACCATCCCACTCAGCACGCGCCACCCAAGAATGGTTACGAAATAAGGTTCCTCGCTTCATTTCCAGCGAACAATGGCCATCTAAATCTCCGGATACCAATCCGTTGGAGTATTGTGTCTGGAGTATTTTGGAAAGCAAGGTTGGCACTAAAAAATACCAAAGTGTCGATCACCTCAAGCAAGCTCTTCGCCGGGAATGGGCCAAAATACCGCAGAGCAACATTTCAGCAGCGTGTGACGGTTCCATTGACCGGTTGAAGGCCATAATTCGTGCCAAAGGTGACCAATTCGAACAAATCTAAACTTATTCTAAAATTTGATGCTATTTCCTGCATTTTTTGCTTACATTCAATAAAATTAACAAAAATGTAAAAATTATGGCGTTTGACTTTGTTGCTGATTTTTTATCACACCGTGTATATCTTCCCCCTCTTCTCTTTGAAAATAATAAATAAAGTAGATTGAAAACCTATAAGTTCAATCGAAGTAATCTCATTCACTTCGTTAGTGCCATACTTCATTGCTTAATAACAGTTATCATTAATATAGACTGGGGACTTACAATCCCAATTGATATAATTCCCATTCACTTTGCTAGTGCCATATTTCTCATCAATATTTTTGTTATTATTTTTTTATTTTATGTTATTGTTTTTTTTTTTGCCTCAACTAAATCTATTTTAATGGAATGCCGTTTTTTTTTCGGTAACATTATTTCAATTTTGTTTCCCTACTACATTGCCTTATCATATCTTTCATGATTTTTAGCTCTGACAACTGCGACACGCCTACTTTTATTGAACTGGCAATGGATGATCGCTGACTTGACTTCATTGTTCTCGCCTCACTAATGTATTCAATGATTTGTTGAAATTCTTTTAGTCTTCATTTTTTCCATTCCCATTCCCTCCTCAATAATGTATTATCAATATTTCAAAATGATTGAACAAATTATGGGATTACATTTGTAAAAATGTTTCTGGTTTTTTGGTTAATTCTCACAGAGTTCCTAAGAACTCAAAAAAAAAAAACTGAGGAGAAGAATGAGAGAAGAAAAAAAATAGGTGGCAGAGAAATTTGTCAAGTCATTGGTGGCTATTTGTGTCGAGTGGCGGCTTAGCTCTTGATGTTGGCTCTCTCACTCTGTCTCGCCACTGATCTCTGTTAAATAAGGCCTAAACCGTAAATATCAGATCATCATCAGAAAATCATAAAATGCTAAGTGGCGTCGGCGTTTTCTTTTCTTTTCCAAACAAATCTTTCACAAATTGATGGCGTTGAATTTCAAATGATATACAGGAATTTAATAAACCAAAAATTGTTACAAATATTAAAAAAAAACAACAACTACTTACCATTTATGTGTCCATTTTCGTAGGGATATTCACCGTTGTCCAAACGATGCTTCTTCATTTGCGGATGCTGTGACAAATGTGTCGGCGGCAGAGATAAACCAACTGGTCCACGCTTTGGCGGTCTACCCGGCCTGGAACTGCGAAATTGCAGAGAGTTACTGTTGGGTTAAACATAATTGAAGTTACAGGAAATCGAAAATGTGTTAGCAACGCAAATTTGTAACTTTCGAGGCAAAAGGCCTCCCAGGGGCTTTGAAGAAACCGAATTCATTATTTTCCAAAGTAGGAGGAATTTGAAATTTTTCCGGATTTCATTTTTATTTTTCAACAAATTTGCGTTACTTTTTAGAGATGAGAAAGAGAGAGCAAAAGGATACAAAATACCGAAAAACAGGATAAAAAATGTAATGAAAGGACAATAATCCAGCATTTTGTTAATATTTTAAGACAGTGCTATTTAAAATTATGAATTTCTCTTTTAAACCTTGTTTATTTTATTTATTATAATAAATATTTTTTAATACAAACATTTTTTTAAGTAACACAAAAATTTTAAATTTTTTAAGGAATGAGAATTAAAAAGCCTTGATTTTTTATAAATATTTATAAAGAAAATCTTAATTGTGGATTTTTTTTTTTTTTAAATATTTAAAATAACATAGCTAGTCGGGGGTTTTGGATATACTAACTGAAAAATTGTGTATTATTACGAATTTCAGGATTTTTAAAAAATGGTTTATGCATGTCAATGACACTGTGCAACACAAATAATTACAGGGACTTCAGCAGATTATAAATATGGGGCTAAAATTGAATATACTGGCGTTTCAAAAGTTTACATGGCAAAGTGACCTAAATAGAGGAGACAAGTTCCCCCTACTCTTACTTTTTTTGAAATTTTTGGATTAAGCTTCCTCGGCAATATTGCAGACAAAAATTATTTTGGTTTAAAAATGTTAATCCTCAAGCGAGTCGACGAATGGGTCTTTTTGATCCGTTTTTTTTTTTTTTTTTTTTTTTTGAAAATATGGTTATAAAATCCCTTAAAACGGGATCGTAGCAAAACAATATATTCTACAAAAATATTTGTTATAAAATTCTATATAGTGCCTAGAAGACGTCAAGAGCCTAAATCTTACCCAAACGCCAGGAATTCATATATTCACCTTCTCGAAAAAAGGAGGAATAATGGGAAATTTTTGACTTGGACTGGAAACGTGTTAAATAAACAGTGAAAAAAGCAAACACATAATTTTCACTTTTAGTCGATATATTTCGAATGTTATTTTCATAAAAACTATTGTACAAAGATGTATGGTTTATTTTGAAATTTATTATAAAATTTTGTGTAGAAAATTTCTTCTTTTAACATCTTTTACATAAAACGCAATTTTATGCTACTTTCAGGCCTCAACTCGAAAAACGTCCTAGGAAAAAGTGATCAAAAAATTAGAAAATATTTTCGCGTTTTGTTTTTGGCAACATAAATGCAAATATTTTTTTGATACACAATGGAGATAGAGATTTCTTTTTTTGGTGACTTATAGCGAAATTTAAGGAAGATTAATTTTGTCTTTGATGTCATTCTTCTAAAATGATACTGTGTTGGGGATATTGGCACAAACTCACGCAAAGTACGGCTTCATTTTCAAAATGTATTTTTTAGTATATTTGAGTTCCAGGCGTTTGGATAAGAGTTTGTCTCTTGACGTAGAAACCCCTTTGTACCTAGACACATGATTTATTCTGAGATTTATAGTGAAATCTTGTGTAGAATATTTCTTCCTTTGACATCTTCCGTCTAAAACGAAATTTTATGTTTATTTCAGGCGGCAACTCGAAAAAGTCCAAGAAAAAATAGTTAAAAAAAAATTAGAAAATATTTTCGATTTTTTTTTTTTTTTTTGGAATTTTGATGCAAATATTTTTGCAATGCAGATAGAGATTTCTTTTCTTTGATGACTTATAGTTAAATTTGATGGAGAACAATTTTGTCTTTGACGTCATTCTTTTAAAATGCTGCATTTTTGGAAATTTCTGCATGCATTCACACTAAGAACGGTTTTAACCCTACAATGACAAATTTGAATTCTTGGCGTTTTGTTATGATTTAGATACTTGACATCTTGTTTGGCTATAGTAAGATTTGATGGAAAATAATTTTGTAGAATATTTTGACTTCCTATGATTCCGTTTAAAGGGAGTTTTAAACCACATTGTAAAAAAAGGACCAAAAATACCCCTTTGTTGACTTCTTGATAGTTAAAATTTTGGATCAAATCAATCCTTGTTTTTATCTTCAATATTGCCGAAGACACTATATGCCTAAAATTAACGGATTCTAAGAAATCTTAATTTCGAAACCTTAAATTTTCAAAAGGCATGAAAGAGAGGGTAATTTACTCCTGCTCTATTTAAGTCACTTTGCGATGTAAATTTCCAAAACGCCGATACACATCACATCAATATTTTCCTACCATTAAGACGTTTTATACACTTGTTATACAAATACCCTAAAGTATCTCTTTCGGTACTAAATTTTAACATTCCATCTTTTTTCATTTACCCAAAACCAAATTGTACCAAGTTTTGTACAATTTAGTACATTTCATACATTTAAAACATATTTCCGAAGAAAACCGTCTTTTAATAAACTCTACTTCCTAAAATTGGTTTTCATACCAAATTTCTTAGCATACTTGTATCTAAATTTAGTACTTTTGTTACAATTATTGTTCCGATTTCCATAGAATCTTTGGCTTATCAATCCTAAATATCACAAAGACCCTCACTCCAAATTTCAGATTCCCAACACTATCCCTTTCCCAAGTACCAAAATTTAATACCATTTGGTATTTTCCGCACTTTTTGGTACAATTTTTAAAATCACCATATATCAATCCCATCTTCTGAAAATTAACCCTAATATCAAATTTCAGATTTCCACCTCCCTACCTCACATATTAAGTTTAGTACCACTCAGTACTATAGTATATATTGCGAAAACCAGCTACACACTAAAAGTGACCTCAATTTAGTACAGTTCTTACATTTAGTAAATATTTCTACCCAAGTTCTCCTACTCAATTCTAATGTATTTATTTAAGCTCCATCCCAATATTATACCAAATATAGAGCTTTTTAGTATGAATTAAAAAAATAAATAAAAAAATAAATAAATGCACCCCAACAGTGTCCTTCATCTCAAATTTCAGAATTCTGAGAGTATAGATATTTGTAAAATCCAGGACTTTGAATGTTAAAATATTAAAAAGTATTATTCTAAAGTCGTAGATTTATATGCATATTTTTTTATTATCACGTGTCGCAACATTTCCAGGAAGTTGACCACCTACTTCCTTAGCTTCATTTTCCAATGAATGCTATCCTCTAGATAAATTCCTATATATTTTTTCTTATCAAATAAATATTTTCACTTTCGTTTACGTTTTTGTTTACCAAACTATCAGTCTAACCCCACCTCCTCCCCCTGTGCAAACTGAACTCTCCCGCCATTAATTCTTGGTATTTGAAAAATACAAAGCAACAATAAATAAATAAATATAAAAAATATGACTATAAGTTAATTTGAAAATAAATATGCTACTGAATTTGTTTTGGAATTAAAATGTTAAGTGCCTTCTGATACTGGGAAAATTCTGTATTCAACGTTTCTCTTCTATTTGTTGTGGGCAAATAAAATCTCGAGATAGTTTTGTTTTGATATTGCGTGGAGATAAAAAAAAACTCAACAGAATATTGTTATTATTTGTCTAGTCTTGTGATACCGGTCGGATAATGTGTACAGTAGCGACAACATAAAGCTGCCTGAGGCTAAGGTGGGCCATAATTTTTTTGTTACTCTTCTATGATGTAGTTAGTCATTTTTTGTTGTTGCTGTTTCTTTTATTCTTCTTCTCAATGATCTTAGTTAGTATGTGGCAAGGGAGCGCCACCAATTTTATTTATTCCCAGATAATATATTTTTTTGTTAGAAAATTTAACTAAAATTTTTGTAGAGGCTTCTAGTTTGACCTCATTCTTTGGGAGTAGAGCAGGGCAAAAGAGATACGTAATTGTATTAGGTTATCTCAAAAAAATAACAAGAAAAAAATAAATAAACCATTTTTTTCTAAATTGTTTTTATTTGCCTTAATATGTCATGAAAGAAAAAACAAAAAAAAAACAAACAAAAAATTAATCATTATTTTTTCTTAAACTCGCACAAATGTTGAATTAAAAATTACTAGCTGCTGTTGCTTCCCATAAATTTTAAACTCCCAACGAAATTCCTTTTGACTGCCGATCAATTTTTGTTTTCAAACCTGTTCGCAGCAGCTGTTTTGTGTTGAGTAAAAACAAAAACTGCAATTGATTGCTTTCAAACTAACTGCAAGTACTATAAAATCGATTAAAATTGTCTGCTCAATAATTGTTGCAGGACATCAGGCAAAACATGTTTGTCATGAGGAAGTTGGAAAGAAAAAAAAAACTCAGGTTGGCCAAGCAATGAAATACTCCAAAAGAAACTGATAATTGTTTATTTTGAAAAAGAAGAAAAAATAATAATTTTTACGCAATAGCGACGACAAGAAAATTATGTATATTTTTTGTTTATATGAAATATCAATATTTTCTGATGTGTATGGAGGATATAGAAAAATAAAATTATATTACAGATATATAAAATAATTTAATTTTAATTTTTTAATATAATTTTTAAACCACAATCGCAATGAATCCTGGTTATAATTTGGGGCCAGGGTATAGTAGAGTAGTGACAGAGAAGATTTTTAAATAAATGAGAGGGAATAAATCATTGATTTTTTTAGTATTTTCGGGAAGGACTACAGTTTTTTTTAAGAATATTTTTTTTTAAGGACCTTAGGAAGCAAGAGTCAACATTTTGTTCTGAAGTATTTGTTAGGGGTTAATTTAGCAAGACTTCCATTATTTCAGGAATATTTTTAAGGGATTTTCTACGCCAGAACCGTGGAAGTTTTCGATAATATTTTAAAGCACTTACAATAAAAAATACATGGGTTTTTTTTTAATTCAAGGACTCTCGGACTCTCAGAGATAAAATTGTAGAGTTTTTAAAAAATATGTTCCAATGACTCTCAGAAAAACAATCGTA